TGGGGAGGGAATGGGGATTTTGCAGTAACCTTCCCTTGCCACGCCCACCAAGCCACACCCACAGAACCGGTAGTAAAAAAAAATTGAATCCCACCACTGGCTGGAAGGGTCCTTGGAGGTCTTCTAATCCAACCCCTGCTCAAGGCAAGAGACCTTATATCATCCTGGTCAAATAGTCGCCCAGCTTATTTTTGGATAGTGATGGAAGTCTGTAGAGATTCTCAGTCCTCCAGGTCATGATTGTCCCAAAGGTGCTTTTCTCAGGAGGTAATTGGACTTTCTGGGTTTTTTTTTCATTTGGAAGATGTTTTGCTTCTCATCCAAGAAGTTTCTTCAGCTCTGACTGGATGGTGGAGAATGGAAGGATTTATATTCCTTACAGGCAGCTGGTCATTTGCATCCTTTTTAGAGGGTTGTTGATGACTGAGAATCTCTACAGACTACTACAATGGGGGATGAACACCTTTTGAATGGTGTGGGAGTCGGAATGGATTTCCAGAGGGGGAAAAATGCAGATTGCAGGAACCATTTGCACTACTTAGGTGACCCTGAGGACACAGACAAACCTCCAAGTGGCCTCAACGACCGTCTAAAAGGATGCAAATGACCAGTTCTGTCTGCAAGGAATATAAATCCTTCCATTTCCCACCATCCAGTCAGAGCAGAAGAAGCTTCTTGGATGAGAAGCGAAACATCTTCAAAGAAAAAATAAAAGTCCAGTTGCTTCCTAGAAAAGCACCTTTGGGACTCCAGTAATGAATCACCACAACTTCTGGTGGCAAGCTGTTCCATTGGTTAATCGTCCACACTGTTAGGAAGTTTCTCCTTAATTCCAGGTTGCTTCTGTCCTTGATTAGTCTCCATCCTTCTTGTTCTGCCTTCTGGTGCTTTGAAGAATAGGTCGATCCCCTCTTCTGTGGCCCCTCAAGTATTGAATCAAATCCACTTTCAGCAGTTCGGGAGATGTAACTATATGTAAAATATGAACAGGTCCATTGAAGTCATTCAAGATAATCTAATTTACTCCCAGTCTGTAAGAGTTTTCCCCAGCTTGGCCACTTTAAGACCTGTGGACTTCAACTCCCAGGATTCCCCAGCTAGCATGGCTGACTAAGGAATTCTGGGACTTGAAGTCCACTCATCTTAAAATGGCGAAGGTTGAGGAACCCTGATCTGTAAAGCTGGCTTTTCCCCAGGCATCCCTTCTGTTGCTGATATCTTGAGGAGATGATCAAATAGATAACTTAGTAGGTATCAAGAGGCAACCTGTTTGAGGTATGCAGCCATCCTCTTCACACCCACAAAAAGGGGGCATGGTTTGTATCACAACACCACAACCTAGCAGGCGTATCTTGTATCCCTTCATTTCTTTCTCGATTCTGCAAATTTACCTGGCTACCTATCTTAAATTAATACACTCTAAAACCTATGGCCTCCTCCTCCTCCTCCTCCGTCCAAAGACGCCATTAGCTAGGAATGTTCTCCATCACATTCTTCATGAAGGAAAGCTTATTTGCTAAAAATATCACACGTGACAGACAACGGGAATTCTTTTCCAAGGAGCCATTTCCAAGGAGCTACATCACCCCTTTGCAAACTCTGGATGCGGGAATGTCTTTTCCTGAGGTTTCTGTCCTCAATTTTCAATATTTGCAAAATGGGGGTGGGGGGTTGTAAGAAAAGGGGTGTTTTGCATCTCCAAGGGAGTTTTCTTCCCGTCTCACCCAGGAAGATGGGTGAAGAATGGTCTCCAAGAATCTTTTACTCAAAACACCAAAATCTAGAGCTAGACTGGATCTTTCTGGATTGATTCCAGACTGCTCCACCGATACTCCTAGACTCCTATCTTTGGATGCAGGCTTGATTAAAGAAGCCAGAGAGATGCCTCTAAAATTGCATGTCTCATGTTTGGAAATATCTGGACTCGAATTCTGTATCCCCTAAAGAGAACATCTGGATGTTTTCTAAGGAGGTCGAAAGGTTCTTTCCACCAAAGTTGAATTCGGAAAGAACATTCTTCCTCACCAAATTCCTCTCGCTCAGCCGAACCTTTGAAGTCTTGCATTTGACTTCAGGCCAGTGTAAAAAACCAAAAAAAAGACCAGTTCTGTCTTTCACATCCCAGTCCCACCAGCATCCATCGGTATTCATCTGGCTAGCGTCCTGTCAGTGTGTGAGAGAGTTGAGGGCTGTTTGGAAACTGAAACGTGGAAACTGAAACAGTATTTGCTGTGTGAGCAAGGAGACAGCAAGGAGCCTGGGCGTGGCTTAGCTCAACTGTTCTGTACTAAAGCTGGTTGCTACTATGAAACTAAAACTGAAATTCCTCTCTTTTGCTTTTGTTTTGCATTTGGAAGAGATTTCTTTTCAGGTGGAGAGGGGAAGTAGAACTCCTAAGCATCAGAGTGTTAATAATAATATAAGAAATATTAATGCTCTGATGGTCATTTCGAAAAATCCTTTCTTAGAAGCCAAGAGGAACATACGGTCAAAGTTTCAAGTTTGTAGGCTTTATGATTCTGGAGATTTTGTGATGATGCATGAGGGGTATTTCGCTTTGATATATATAGATATAGATTATGAGTGGCCTCAATGACTGTAAAAGAATGCAAATGACCAGCTGTCTGCAAAGAGTATCAATCCTTCCATTCCCCATCATCCAGTCAGAGCTGAAGAAGCTTCTTGGATGAGAAGCGAAATGTCTTCAAAGAAAAAAACAAAGTCCAGTTGCCGCTTGAAAAAAAATGCACCTTTGGGACCACCGGCACCTGGATGACTGCGAAACTACATAAACCATTCATTTAACATGTATTTGAAGTTACTACGGTTACAACCATCATTTCATCCCTACCTTCACGTGATCAAAATTTGGGCACTTGGTAACTCTCACGTATTTGGGGTGGTTGTCATGTCCCGGGGTCATGTCATCATGACTTGTAACCTTCCCTGCTGGCCTTGGATCAGCAAAGTCAATGGGGAAAGCTGGATTTAATTAACAATGATGTGGTGCGCATCACAAGTGCCGTGATTTGCTTACAGCGTAAAATCAGATGCAACTCATTTAAGCAGCCACCTTGGCTAAGGTGGGACTTGAACTTACGGTTTCCCACTCTCCAGCCTTAACCACTAGACCAAATTCCCAGAAGGAGTACAAAATGACAACATGCCACCATAGTATCCCCCAAAATATTCAGCCAGAAGGTTGCATAGTTGACTTGCCTGTGTTTCTCCCAACCAATGAGTTGTATTATTGATGGAGCCTTTGCTTGCAACAGAGGTGTTCCTTCTCTGTGTGTTTGTACAGAGTACAGGTAGGCCTCAACATATGACGACAGGAGCCCCCAATTTCTGTTGTCACACAACCAATAGCAATAGCACTTAGAGTTATATACCGCTTCACGGTGCTTTGCAGCAGGGGTGGGATTCAAATTTCTTAACAACCAGTTCTGTGGGTGTGGCCTAATTTGGGGATGTTGCTTGCTGACTGGGCGTGGCTTGGTGGTCACATGACTGGCTGGGCGTGGCTTGTATGTAAATATTGTAAATATTTATGTAAATATTGATTTTTTAATTAAAAAAAGAGCAACTTCTACCCAAAATCAAGCAAAGCAGGCAGGCAGATTGAGTTGCTTGCAGAATCACAGAGTCACTCATAGATCTACCTTTCTGCAATCTGCTGCCTGAGTCTGTCGCATACAATTTGCTTGCAAGCAAACTCACAAAAGTAACTCACAACACACCATGTATGTCAATATTGATTTTTTTATTTTTTTTTTAAAAAAGCAACTTTTACCCAAAATCAAGCAAAGCAGGCAGGCAGATTGAGTTGCTTGCAGAATCACAGAGTCACTCAGAGATCTACCTTTCGGCAATCTGCTGCCTGAGTCTGCACTCAAAACTAGAAGCTTCAGTCCTAAGGAAGGTTCAGCTCTTCTCTCAGGCCATTTCTCTACCCCATAACCCCCTGGGCCTCAGGGAAGCCTCCTGGGCGAAGGCGAAGCAGTACAACAGCGGTTTAAATTAGCTAGAAAGCAAGAAATCCAAAGATTTCCTGCTTTCTAGCTAATCTAAATTGTACAGCACAGCTGATAGTTAGAACAGCTGATCACCTGGGGGAAAAAAGGAAAAATAGCAACTTACCAAAAATTAGGGGAAAGTACAACACAGCCAAGTTGGATCGCGCGAATGCCAGGTAAGGAGTGACTGGGTGGGGCGTGGCGGGTGGGGCGTGGCGGGGCCACCCAGTGGCGCGATTTGCCGGTTCTCCAAACTGTGCAGAAATGTAACAACCGGTTCTATAGAACCAGTCCGAACCAGTAGAATCCCATCCCTGCAGCCCCCTCTAAGCGGTTTACAGAGTCAGTCTATTGCCCCCAACAATTTGGATCTTCATTTTATCCACCTCTGAAGGATGGAAGGCTGAGTCCACCTTGAGCCTGATTCGAACTGCCAAATTGCAGGCAGTGGGCAGTCAGCAGAAGTAGCCTGCAGTACTTTGCACTCTAACCACTGCGCCATCACCGCAAGATTGTTGTTAACAGAGTTTCCCCCCATTGTATGACCTTTTTTGCCCCAGTTGTTAAACAAATCCCTGCAGTTATTAAGTGAGCCACACGGTTGTTAAGTGAATCGAGCTTCCCCATTGACTTTGCTTGCCAGAAGGTCGCAAAAGTGGATCACACAGGACCCTGAGGGACACTGCAACCGTCATAACTGTGAGCCAGTTTCCCAGCGTCCGAATTTTGATCGTGGGGCCATGGGGATGCGACAACGGTCGTAAGCGTGAAAAACGATCACAAGTCACTTTTTTTCAGCAATGGTGTCACTTCGGTCACTCAGTGAACTGTTGTAAGTCGAGGACTAACTGTAGCAAAGTAGTAGCACCACCTTATATTCTCCTGGAGGCACGTGTTGAAAGAAAGCCATGGATTTGTGAGTCTAGTTCTTAATACAGTGGGTGTATAAATCATGGGTTTAATTCTATTTTTGTTTCTTTTCAGGGGATCCTCCGCAGGCAGCTGCTTGGATTGGCCAATGTTTTCTCTACTTGCTCATAGTGATCTTTGAGAAAACAGCCGTCAGTCTCATCTTACTTATTCCCGGTTGGACGAAGGTAAGGAAGAGGAACCTGATTCACACCTTCCGTTACTCATGAATGTTATGGACTTTTTAAGGGGCAAATTAGCACACGGCTTTAAATGCCTCTTTAGAGAAAATGCATTAGAGTGAAAGATGCAAATTCTGCAATATTTTGGCACAGCTAGAAAAGATCAATCCGTCAGAATAGATACCTTGGAGGTCATCTAGTCCAACCCCCTGCTCCAGCAGGAGACCCTATACCATTTCAGACAGGTGGGCGTCCAGTCTCTTCTTGAAAACCTCCGGTGGTGAAGCACCACAATGTCTGACGGCAAGCTGTTCCACTGGTTAATTGTTCTCACTGGTAGGAAAATTCTCCTTAATTCTAGGTTGCTTCTCTCCTTGGTTGGTATGGAATGGAATGGAATAGAATAGAACCTTAGAGGTCATCTAGTCCAATCCCCTGCTCAAGCAGGAGACCCTGTACCCGTGATGGCGAACCTATGGCACGCATGTCACAGATGCCACGCAGAGCCATTTGTGCCGGCATGCAAGCTGCAAGCAAACTTACCTCACTGCGCATGTGCGTACCTCACAGCTGATTTTTTTGGCCTGTTTGAGGCCTTTTTCGGCCTCCCAGAGGCTTGAGGAAAGCCTTTACAGGCCGAAAAATAGGCCCGTTTCGTCACTTCCTGTATTTCCGGAAATACCAGAAGTGACAAAATGGACCAATTTTTTTGGCCTGCAAAGCCTGCAGAAGATTTCCTCAAGCCTCTGGGAGGCCAAAAAAGGCCTCAAATGGGCCAAAAAGCGGCTGGGAAGAGCAGTGCAGGTAAAAGGAGGATCGCACGTGCATACATAAGGAGCGTGGGAGAGGCTTACGCATTGCCTTCTGGTGCTGGCACGCGAGTACGTGAGCGCACAATTTTTGGCACAGGAGCCCAAAAAGGTTAGTCGCCACTGCCCTATACCATTTCAGACAGGTGGCTGTCCAGTCTCTTCTTGAAAACCTCCAGTGATGAAGCACACATCACCACTGATTAATTGTTTCCCCTGTCAGGAAATGTCTCCTTAGTTCTAGGTTGCTACTCCCCTTGATTAGTTTCCCTCTACTGCTTCTTGCCCTGCCCTCAGGTGCTTTGGAGAATAGCTTGACCCCCTCTTCTTTGGAGCAGCCCCTCAAATATTGGAAGACTGCGATCATGTCATCCCTGGTCCTTTTTTTCCTCTAGAATGTCCATATCATTTACAGCTCGGGTAAAGGAAACTGTGTTTGTGTACAATCAAGGCAGGGACTGTCAGTCGGATTAATTGGCTAACACCTCCTGTGCTACTATACAACAGAAGTATGGTTGTTGGAGGGCTTCTCAGTGTGCAAAATGGACACAAGTCATTTTTTGAGCCATAGTGGTGCAGTGGTTAGAGTGCAGTACTGCAGGCTACTTCTGCTGACTGCAATTTGGCAGTCTGAATCTCCCCAGGCTCAAGGTTGACTCAGCGTTCTGTCCTTCCGAGGTGGGTAAAATGAGGACCCAGATTGTTGGGGGCAAGAGGCTGATTCTGTAAAACTGCTTAGAGAGGGCTGTGAAACACTTGAAGCGGTATAGAACCCTAAGTGCTATTGCAATGATAGGTAGGTAAGCAGATAGATAGATAGATAGATAGATAGATAGATAGATAGATAGATAGATAGATAGATAGATAGATAGATAGATGATAGATGATAGATAGATAGATAGATAGATAGATAGATAGATAGATAGATAGATAGATAGA